TAATTGCCTTCGCTTACAAATTGTCAAATACTTAGCTTTAAATAAACAGGAATATCATAATCAACTATAAACATAAAATCACTATGTATCTAATTTTCTTATTTATATAGTTGTATTAATTAATAGGAACTAACACGAAATAAAGAGAATAATATTGTGGTTGGTAATTATTCTTACAAAATTGACGCAACTCTAAAAAAAAAAAGAAAGACAGATTTTATAAATCAATATAACATCGCCACCGGGATCCCATTAAACACGATTCAAACTGATCAAGGACGAGCACACGTTTTTCGCGGGATTTACGAGATTCGATTGTTGGAACGCGCACCTCTAGTTTCTCAGTCGAATTGTATGAACACGGGTCTTCGCAAATTCCGCGAGCACGCGTAGTCCTTTGGATCGAAATAAATTGCAAATTAATTGAATATGATCGCGGTAGGAAATCCGGAGTACGGAGAACTGTGTTGCACGCACGAAGCACGTTTTCGGCCATCTTGTTCTATGTGAACGGCGCAGCTGCTGGCCAACCAACCCCCCACTCTGTTTCATCCCTTAACTTTTCGACTCTCCGTGTTGTCGACGCGTAACAAGAACTTCCAAACCGTCCTTTCTTACCAGGTATCTCGTACTCGAATCGCGATTATAAAAATGTTTCCCGAAGATTATCATATAACTTTACCTAACTACTACCTAGTTCCCGTGGTAAGAAAACGACAGTTGAATTTCTCCAATTGCATACCTTTGGTAACACTCTAGCATACTTTTTAATCTTGTTTGGCGTCGGGCAGAGTTTTGCACGGACTGGGCCGACGGGCCGTTTCACTCAGGGCCAACCGGGCTTTGCGTTATCGGAAAGCCCGGTTGGCTCTGAAAGGAAAGAAGCTCGGCCCGTGCAGAACTCTGGCGTCGGGAAGTCCGAAACGAATTCTAACGCAAACGACGAAAGTGCGACGCTGAGTCAGCGTCATTAATCAGCTGAATATGAATTTTAGCGGACGCGTCAAAATATTTTCGAAACTCTCTCGTTCGAACGTGCAAACGTGTTGTAACGCGAGCCTATCGCCATAACGAATTGAAATGCAGTGAAAACGACCCGAACGCTTACGGTTTACTTATACCTGAGCCGTAACCTCGTGCTCGGTGTTTAGCTCGTTAGACCATAAATCATGGCGATCGCAGGGTCAGCTGGCCTCGATCCTCTCTATTCGTTTTATCCCTCCAACTTCGTCATTTTCATTTCCTCAAAAATCGTCTATGAACCTATCGTTGATAATTATCCTCCACGGTAGCAAGCCAGCTCAAATATCGAACGAACATCGCTGGAACTGCAATGAGAATTATATTCTTATTAGTTAGTTGTTTAATACTCTTCCACAGACGGTACAAATTGCTGCTAGATAATTACCTTAATCAGTCTCGTTCGGATCGGTCGGTTCATCTGAATTATACGCGTTGCTTATAGGAGTCGACGTGATGATCGAGCTTCGCCATCTGACTTCTGTAAGCTGTCTATTGTAGAAATTATTGTAGAGTTCTTGTTGCTGTTGCTGCTGGGTACGATG